CGTCGCCATCAAGAAAAGAACACCTTCAAACAAAAACGTGTTGGGAGAAAGTCCTTGGGGAGCAGATGAAGGGAAATGATACCTTGTGGGGAGAAGAGGGGGCGTGGGAAATTTCTCCAAGCTGCTGATGGCGTTCCCCCCGCACAGCTCCGAGAGCTTTCCTGAGACGCGGTGGCCGCGAGAGCAGCCAGAGCACGTCCGGGAACCCGGAGAGCTCTGCCCGCACCCCCAAGGCAGCAGCCCGCCCCCTGACCCCCGAGCCACGACAGGAAGACGCCCGCTGCCTCTAGGGACCACACAGGAAGCCAGACGGCGCCCCCGACCAGCTGGAGCCCATGGGTGCTCGCCCCCCACTGCCCCAGCCCCCTGCCCCCGCCTCTCCGCATTCCCGGGAGTCCTGGCCACAGTGAACTGGAGAATGGCCTTGATTCGGGGGATCCTGGTTTACTTGTGCAGCCGTTAACTTTAGAACGTGCGGTGCGGGGGCTTGGAGTTTCTCAACACGGTTCAGGACTGTGAACCACAGGGTTTTGAAAGCAAGCCGCTGGTCCTGGTCCGAGGAGGGCTGGGGACCTGGGGGCGCAGGGGGCAGCAGCCCCAGGGACACCTACCCTCCATCCCGTGGGCAGTCGGGGGCCACCGCAGGGCTAGCAGGGGGTGGGGGAGGAGAGGTGCCGTCCCGGGACACCGGAGGGAGGCGAGGCAGGTGTGTCCCGGGGAAGCCTGAGGTCACAGCCAGGCAGCTTCCAGGTTTCGCTCTGAGCTGTCAGAGTCTACACCAGGCTGTGTGCGGGATCCAGACGGGGCTCAGACTAGGGAGGGCTTTAGGGCCAGGCCTGGAGGGGGCGGGTACCACTTCTGCCCCTGTGCCTGCTGTCTGCACGCAGACACGTGACTGCCCCCAAGTGTGGGGGGCGCTGGGAGGCGGGGATCCGCTGTGCTCCCGAAGGAAAAGGACAACAGGGTGATCCCGAGACAGGCAGCCGCTGTCCCAGGCGGGACCGAGAACGTGTGTCCACACCCCGCCTGCCCCTCGGTGGCCCCCAGCCAAGCCAAGGCCCCGTGCCGTCACTCTGCCCCACCAGGCACCTGAGTGAGAATTCCAGGCTCCCTCCTGCTCCCCAACCCTGGGCTGCGTCCCCAAGCCTTTTGCCTGACCGCCACCCCCACCTCCTTCAAGTCACCACCTGTCACGGGACACAGTGGAATCTGCCCTCAGAACGAGTTTAATTTCCTTTGGGTTCTCATATCGGTCAGCACTGGCCGCAGGGACAAGCGGCCCCAACATCTCAGGCTCACGGCACCCTGGGCATGACAGGCGAGGACTGTGGGCCCGTCACAGCTCTGCCGGCGTGGCTGGCCTCAGAGGGCCCCTCCAGAGTCGCCCGGCACCTGCTCTCCGGGAGGACGGCTACAGAAAGACGTGAAGGTCAAACAGGTCTGGCTGGGGTGCGGCCGCCTCCCATCGGCTGAAGCCAGTCACACGGTCAAGGCGCTGTGCGGTGGGATCAGGGAGGCCCGCGGGATGGGGCAGGCGACACCCTCTACCCCGATGGGTACCAGCTCTCCTGCCACGGGGGCCGTCCTCCTTCAGGCCACGCCCGTGTCCCCAGCAGCGAAGAGGGGACTGTGGGGCAGCTCACGCCTTCCTGCCCACCCACCAGCAGAGCCCCGATGGGACGTGTGCCAGCAGGCCGAGGAGCAGGGACAGCAGAGGCTCGGGGGGGGACTGGCCAGGGACCCTCTTATCACCACGGACACTGCTGCTCTCCCCTGGAGCGAGCCGAGAAGCACTGTTCCCACCGGCTGAGCTGGCCGGGGCTGAGCCCCAGGTCTGGGCTTGCCTGCGTGAACCATGGTCCTGCCAGCCTGTGGGGTGGCCCAGGGGCCAGGGGAGGCCCCCGAGGCCCCAGGGGTAGGAGGCAGACAGAAGTCAAAAGGGAGCCACTCACAGAACCATCCTGGGACGGCTCCCTGCTTCTTGGGGTTTTCCCGGGACTCTCTGGGGCAGAAGAGAAAGTCTGCCGCAACACTAGCTGCTCCCAGCGTCCTCTGGACAGTGAGCTCATGGCCACCGCGCCCCGAACGGTGATGGCGCGGCCTGTGCATCTGGGAGGCCCTGTGGGGAGCCACGGCTGTGCGTACGGCTGCTAGAAGTTTCTGAGCAAGCGGCCAGCGGGTGAGCGGTGGAGGGTGGCGAGGGGGTGGGCAAGACAGGCCCCCCTCAGGCTGCTGGGGCACAACCTGCCGCTGTGGGCATTGGGCCTGTCACCTTCCCAGGTGAGTCCTACATCGGGGACCACCATGTGCTACGGGCGGCGGGGGTAGGAAGCCCTCCGGGCAGGGCCTGACCGCGAACACGCAGCCGGGCAGTGGGAGAGCTGGTCGGGCCCTGCCGTCCCCCTGGGCGACGTAACTGGAAAGTGGTGGGCTGGGGATGGCTGCGGGCAGGAACATCCCACCCGTAGCCGTACTGCCAAGCCCTGGGACATAAATGTCCACGACGCGGGGAGGACGTGTTGTCACATGCCAAGGGATGTCACAGCCACGTCACATGGGGCCGGGGTGCCCGGATGTGGGGTACCCTCACTGCCGCCCACGGGTTGATGCGTCTCTGCCCAGACACCCACCCCAGCCCACCCGGGGCCGGGGGCCCGCTCTGCCTTCATGCACGGATACTGTTCACTGGGAACCCGTCATGCACCCCGGCGTCCCAGTCCATGTCAGTGGATCTCTTTCAGCGCTGTGTCCGGGGGGAGGGGTTTCTCCCATTCCCCAGGCTGAGGCTTCCCCCTGGCCCCTCAGGCCGCAGAAGCTGTCCGCTCCCCGGAGACGCCACAGGGCCCTCAAGCTCAGAGATGTACGCTGTGTCCCAGGCAGCCATTCCGGGTCACCCAGGGGACCGAGACGGCTCCCCCTGTCATGGGAAGGAGGCCAGGCAGTCCAGCGGGGGACCCTGGTCCAGACATGTGGCCCAGCAACAGGGGCCGGCGGGCCCCGGGGAACAGCTTGATGCTAGTCTCTGGGCTAAGGGACATTCCCCGTCCCCAGCGGAGGGAGCGCTACTGAGCTTTCTGACTCACCGCCCTACCCGGGCAGGGAGCTGCACGTGGCCGTCAGCCTTTCCAGACAGGGCCACCCGCCCAAGTCCCAGCTTCCAGAGGCTTCTTTGCGTGATCAAGCATCCGGGTCGGCGGGTCCCACCGACGTGGCCGTCAGCGTGCAAGTGCCATGCATGGGCCGGCTGGGCTCTGCCCGGGTGCATGTGGTCCACACCGGCCCCACCCTTGTCCCAGGCCCCCCGTGTGTGCTGTGCACCGGGAACGTGCCCCGTGCGGCACGAGCTGCGGACGGGGACAAGGAGGATGGCAGGCACAGCCTTAACCCTCAAGGAGCATCGGGTCCGGCTGGGCAAACGAGGCCCACACGTGACTCAGCCGAGGGGCCGCCTGACGGGAGGGAGGGAAGCCAGGGGAACGCCGGAAGCCATGCTTGCCACGTCCACACACACGGGCACACGCGAGCACGGACTCCCTTACAACCGGTGGCGGGGAAACGTGTGGCCGGGGTCATGAACGCGGGAGGTCCACGGTCTGCCCAGCAAGCCCTGGCCAGGACGGTGACTCAGCGAGAGGGCAGGAGGACAGCACCACGGACTCCACGCAGGGATGGGCAGGAGAGGCGGCGAGGGCCAGCCTTGGGACGGGCTAATCCGGGTGCAATCACAGTGACAACGGGGCTGGGACTGAGACCCTCATCCACCTCACATCACCATGGGGCCCGCCAGCACGCTACGCCCCGCCAGCCAGGACGACTCTCACACCATCAGATCTCCATCCGCGTGCAAATTTTAATTGTTTTTAGTTGAGGTTTATCAAGAAGTTGTGCATGACTGTCCCCAGGCGTGCTGGCTCGCAATTCAAGCCAAGTTGAACAGATGGCCCTGATCAAGCATTCTCTCAGCCCCCAGCTCCACGATCTACGAAGAGGACAGCCAGGGACAGAGCAAACAACACAGAAATCTCCGGCGTGAACGCGGATAATTCTCGGAAAAGCCCACCAGCCCATTCCGGCGCAAGAGAACGAAGCTGAGCCCTCAGCTCACACCAGATACTGGCTCACACTGGGCCCAGACGTAAATGCAGGAGCTCGAACTACAGACCCTTAGAGAAAAGTGCGGGCCAGCTTCGTGCCGGAGGACGGGGCAGCAATTTCTCGGGCAGAACACCAAAAGCACAAGCATCACAGGAAAAAATAAATGAGTCGGACCTGCGTCAGAATTAAAACCTGCTGAGCATCAGGGAAGTGATCAACACGGTGAAGGCAGCCCCAGAAGGAGAGAGAGTGTTTGCAAAGCACGGATCCGATAAGGGGCTGACGTGCGGAACATACAAAGAACTAATAACGTTCAACCAAACCCAACACAGGCCTGATTGTAAAAGTGCGCAAAGGACTTGAATACACACTTTTCCAAGGAAGATACAAAAACTGGCAACAATCAGAAGGTTCTGCGCATCACTAACCGCTAGGGAAACGCACGTCCCAACCGGATGAGGTCACTCCAACCCGTTAGGATTGCTCTGAAAACAGCAAGACGCGACACCAAACAAGGACCCCAGAAGAGATAGGAGGGAACACTCTGTTCTTTCTGCTCGGTGTCTCTTAAATCCGAAATAGTCCTAAAAAAATAAAGTCTATTAATTTTTTAAGTGTATACACAAAAATAAAATTAAGAGCTTTAAATAAAGAAAACGAAAAAGGAAAAACACAAGTGTTGGTGAGGACGAGGGATAGCTGGGACGTGCACCCTGTCAGAAGGCGTGTACGATGGCGGAAAACAGGATGGGGGCCCCTCAAAAAATTAAAGACCTACTACGTCATGCAGCAATCCTGCTTCTGGGCAAACACCCCAAAAAAGCAAAAGCTGGAAGTCGAACGGGTATTTGCATGCCGACGCCCACACAGCGCTCTCCACAATGCCCAGAAGGCGGAAGGAAACAACCCACTGTCTGCGCAGAGGGACGGGTCAACGGCACAGACAAGGGGACAGCACTCAGTCCTTCAACAGGAAGGACGTTCTGACATTTGCCACAATGTGACGGACTTGAGGACCCGAGGCTGCGTGCCACGAGCGGTCACCAGACGACAAATCCTGTGTGATCCACATACCTGAGGGACGCGGAGGAGTCAACGCAGAGACAGGAAGTAAGACAGTGGCTGCAGGGGCTGGGGAGGGCTGGGGAGGGCTGGGGAGTCGGCGTTTCACGGGGACGGGGTTCCACTCTGGGAAGATGAAGGGTCCCGGAGGTGGGCAGCGGGGACGGCTGAGCAACCCTGCGAACGTGCTCCTGTTGCTGGGCTGTGCGCTGAGAAATGGCGAGAACGGTGAATTTCACGTCCCGTACGGTCTGCCGCCGCCCGAAGAATGAAGAGCCTGCAAGTGACTGCGACCTATTTCTGTAACAGACACGTTCAGCTCAATGGTCCACGAAATTCTTCACAGACACATCGCGCCGCGACCACACCGCGCCACGCCGCGACCACGGAGACCTCCCGGTAACGACACACCAGATCGGCGGTTCTCATGTTGGTCATCTCGAGGCTGGTTAAACTCGAGGGCAGGAATAGCCCGTTACGGCTGGGAGAGTAGTGAGTTGAAGCTAAGAACTGTTAAATAATTTGAGTCCGTAATGCAGTAGAACACGTAAGTGAACTTGATTTGCTAAAAGCTCGTTTATAAGATAAAAAAGTTCCACGTAAGTGTCTGAATGATTGGTTTGTTTGCTGCGATGTTTCTCGTAGGATCTGAAATGCCTAAGAGGAGAAACAAATGCATCCGATTACCGGGGAACTTAGAGCAGTAACGGACGTTCACTTGAATAAAGAGCCAATCCCCGGCCACCGGGGGGTAAGGAAAGGCCAGTGGCGCCTTCGGGTCCTGAGCTCCAGCAGGAAGAGCCCCTGGGGGTGGCCGGGATCGGCACCTGCGTGGGAACACGGCCCTTTCAGAAGTAAATCGTGCGGCACCACACGGGCCCGAAGATTCCACCTCGCCCTCCCCAAAATGTCTGTGAGCATCGCACCTGGGTCCCTGGGACCGCGGAGCCCAGGCTGGCCGCAGAGCCGCTCCAGGACTTGGGGCTGAAGTGAGGGAGTCAAGCCCACCCTCATGAAAATCGGGAGCGAAAGGCTGCTTTCCTGGCAAAATAGGAATTGCCAGACTCAGCCGTCGAAGTACACCGAAGTTCGGCTTCCACGGGAGAAGCTCGGAGTGGGGGTGAGGACCAGCCCGCCTGGACAGTGTGTAACTCTTGAAGAGCTGTTTCCATCCTGTGTAAACGCGGCCACAGAGAGAGACGGGAAGCCTCCTCTAATTTAGGAAAACGTGACCCCATGAAGACAGCCCAGGGGAGTGATGTGTGCCTGCAGACATGAGCTTTCCCGACTCAGCGGTCCCCGCGCCGTGTCCGGTCTCCGCACACTGCCACCGAACCACGTCCATGCCAGCAGTGCGAGCGCGGCTTGGGAGCAGGACGCCACCAGTGCCAAGAAGGAGCACAGGCAGGAGGAAGGGTGCAGAGACCCCGAGATGCGGACCCTGAGACGGGTGGCCTGAGCCCGGGGTCAGCAGAGGTGGGCGTGGCGGCGGGAGCGTGGGGACCAGCGCCAAGGGGATCAGAAGAGCGTGGTGAGGCAGAAAGTCAGGCCAATCCCAGGGACGCCACCCTGGACCCCACTGGCATCCCTCCTCTGCTCCAGGCCACACGCCCGAGGAAGGGAGCCGGCGGGCCTTCCTGGGCTCGGAGCCCACCCTGGGCAGAGACAGGGCCAGCTGCCCCATGGCCGGGGCCAGGAGTTCAGGCAGCGGACGGGCAGTTCAGAGATGACCCCTCTGCCCCGTCCTCTCCTGCCCCTCCAAGGCGGCAGGCAAACCGGCCAGGCAGGCTTAGCTGAGATCACACCGGCCAGGCTTACGCTGGGGTCCCATGTGGGCCGTGGTGTGAGTCTTCGGTGGCCCACGATGAATGGTGGAGAAGCAGAACGGCTGAAGAACCGGACGCCGCTCGTGCCTCCGTCCCTCCCCAAGATGCTGGGTGTACATTTGCCAAAACCACAAACGTCTCGCTCGAGGCCCAAGAACACCGTCGCACTCAACTAAACCAAGATGAGTCCTTCTGTGACGTCTGATCTCTGGCTCGTGTTCATCTCCCACACGGCCCAGACCATTATCTTCAGCCCATCCCTGCGAGGGGGGACTCGACCCAGCCCACACACATGGTCGCCGTTGACCCCGGAGGCATAGTGTCCGGGCCGCGCCAGGGACGGGCCAGCTGTGCCCACGGCCAGGTTTGCTGCCGCTGGTGTCCCGTCGCGGACCCCAGGCGAACCGTGCTGGCGAGAGCGCCCAGCAGCTGGCGTCAGCGTGAGGAGCCCTGTCCCCTGTCCCCTGTCCCCGAGGGGAGACGAGATGTGGTCTTCGCCCACCCGGGCTCAAGCCCAGGTTCAGGACCAACCGGGGATTTCAGGTTAGGCCCTGAAACTGACCCGGTGACTCGGACGGAAACGAATACATCACTTCCTTCCCAAAGGAGAAGGGTTATGCCACCAGAACCCAGGCCTGCGACTGAAGTGATGGGAGTCAGAAGCCCCATAACTCCCTCCTTCTCAGCGTCTCTGGAAGAAAGCTGATCCGGCTTCCACACCAGAGACACTCGGCCGGAAACCAGTCACGGCTCTGGGTCAGTGCTGGGCACTCGGACACCTTCCCCTCGGCCACCCGGCCCTCACTGCCCTTCCCCTCTTCTGGCGACACCCGTCTGGGGCCCCAGCCCTACTGCTGGGGTCTCCTGGCCGCAGCCCCAGTCCCAGGCGGTGTGTCACAGGATCCCCAGGCCCACACACGGTGCCAGTTCCATCAGGGGTTCCAGTTGGGAAACCCTGGCACAGAGCGAGCACACGGCCCCACAGGGTGGGCCCCGCAGAAGCACCCCCTGCTCACTCGGCTTCCAGAGAAAGAGCCCCCACCTATCGGGAGATGAGCCCGGGACAGGGAGGTGCGGGACCGTGCACGGCATGACTGGGGTGTGGGCCCTGTGGGACCCATGTCTCCAGGAAGCCCCTGGCCCTGCCTTCCCTGTGGGGAAAGGGGGGCAGGTCTCCAGGGGCATTTTGGGGTCCAGGCAGGCTCCACCTCCCCGGGTACCCCTGCCCAGGCTCTCAGCTCTCCCCTGCTCAGCAGGGTCGCGGGCTCAGGAGCCCCTTGAGCTCCTAGGCTGCCTGGGGAGGGAGGGGCATGTGTGCGTGCGAGGCCAGGCGGGCTGCCCCCCCCCACGGACGCACACACACGCACACGCAGATGCACACGCGTGCGGCGTCCGGAGCCCGGCAGTTGGGCGCGAGAAAGCGCGGTTCTGGCGAGGCCGGCGCTAAGCACGAGGGACTGGGGCAGGGACAGCGGCACCTGTGGGCCCCGGGCTGGGACTGGAGGAGAGGGCAGTGTGGAGTGTGTGAGCCTGGTGTGCGCCTGGCGGTGTGGCCCACGGACAGTGGCCGGGACCCAGGGAGCCAGCACCCACGTCCAACGGCTCCGCAGGTGACCAGTGCCCGTCGCTTCGGGGACGCACTGCAGAGAGCAGGGCTCCGGCGGCCGGGCAGGAAGCCGACAAGCCCCCGCTTCCAAGGGCCTGGGCAGGAGGACTTCCAGGCTGGCACGCGCGATCTCCACCCGTGCCACTCCCACGACCACGCGGCCTGCAGCCAAAGGGTCCTAAAGATACGAGTCGGTGACGCACGCGCCGCCCTTCCCGGGGGAGGCTCTCCGGAGGGCCTGGCCTCCTCACCGAAGCCCGCGAGAGCACAGCCGTCTCCGGGAGGCACAGAAGGGCCAGGCAGGCTTCTGCGCGCCCCGTGCTGGCTGGAGGCAAGGCCCGCAGGGGCGGCCCTGGGACAGGAGGACGGAAACAGGGCCCACGGCCCTTCCGCCCCAGCGCCTGGATCCCGCCGCACCCGCCTCGGCCTGGCGAATGGAGCACGGGGCCCCTGCGCTGGACCTCTGCCCGCAGGCGGGGTGAAAAGGCCCGTGTGGGTTCTTCCCATCTACTTGTTTATTTGTGCCGTGCTAAAACACAAATAAGGAAATTCACCATTTTATGGACTTTAAATGCACGACTCAGCGGCCTCAAGTACATTCGCGGTACTGGGAGCACCGCTTCTGTCTGGTGTCAGACCTCTGGAAACTCGCCTGGAGAAAGTCGTGCGTCTTGGCCAGAGGCCACGGGGAGCGGCGGGAAGTCCCTGCTGCCCGTTCACCAGCCAGGCCAACGTGCAGCCCGTTTCCTCCCGGCAAGCCCCACCTGTGTTTACTTTCTCCAGGCTGCCTGGGGAAACTCCACACCCAGCCCCCCAGGCAGCTCGCGGGAGAACATTCCAGTGCTGCAAACCTCGGGCTCCCCGAGGACGTGAGCCTGGGGACACTCTAGGGTGTGCTAGCTGGTGGGGGACGGGAAGGCATCTGCTCTGCTCTCGACCTGGGGCACCGGGGGCCAGCAGGTCACCTTCCCCAGCCACTCCTGGGCATCCTGGCTGCCACCCGAGGCCCAGGAGTTTTCCAGGAGAGGAGCTGGACTCCAGGTAGGTGGGGAGGGTGGGGTGCCGGTGTACCCGTGGCTCTTTGTGGCAGGGGTGCACTGGCCAGGGCTGCGGGCACTGCCTCCAGGCCAGACGCCCGCCAGGCTACGGAAACCAGACTTTCTCCAGCACCTGCCACCTGGCCGCAGGCCAGGGTCCAAATACACAAGCTTCCTTCCCAGAGAGGAGTTCCTGTTTCTGCAAAACGGAGCGGCTCTCTCCAATCCCGCCGCGAATCCATCCACCCACACAAATGTGAATGGACGATCATAATTCTGCAGAGGCAGGTGCCCCCAACGAGCCTCGGTGGCCTCGGGTCAGGAGCACTACCGTCCAGCACATGGCATTGGCCACATGTCTTCCCCTTCCTGGAGACAGACAGACATCGGGAGTGGCCGTGGGGTGGGTGAGGGCCGGGGGCCTTCTGGTTCCTCTTTGTCCACACCAAGGCTCATGCTAGAATCTTCTTTCTGGCCATCAAATAACGGGAGGAATTAGCCACAGCCACACCCGCCCCTTCAAGTCGGCACGTGCCAGCTTTCTTATTTGAGACGTTTTCACCTCTCCAAGAACCCAAATGAAGGTCTGGCCCCGCCCTCTGCACTCAGGACACCGCCCGGCCACCCTCACCCCAGGGAAGGGCCCGTGCGTCCCCGGCTGGCGGGACGGCGTCGGGGATATAGGCAGCATCCAGCTGCATGGGGCGAACCCGGTTGCCGCTGTGAGGTCCGACCACCCATGCAGACGTGCATGGTTCCCACCCACCTCTCCACGGCTCTGAAGCTCGACGCCGACGTGAAGCTGTCACTTAGTGCCGCTGTGGGTTTGATCTGGGGAAGCTGTCCTAAGCGACACCGGGCTTCCTGTCACAGCCCCACATGGGAGCACGCGCTGTGCTCAGAGAGACACACCTTACACTTGGGGCCTGGCTGTCGGCTCCCGGCCCGCTGCTCCCGGCTCCCGGCTCCCTGCTCCCGGCTCCCGGCCCAAGGGAGCCCCGTGGAGAATGCATGGGAAAAACCGTGCTGTCTCTCCAGAAGACTGTGCGCGTGCAGGACACATGGGGCACGCGGGACACACGGGGCCAGAGCACGGACGGCCCCGGGCACGGGCACGGGCAGCACAGGGCAGGCGGGAGCCCGCGCCTGGAGCAGGCGCGGGGTCTCCCACAGGCAGTCGTAAAGGTGCATCCTCCGAGTTCCTCCCGAGCTGGTCATCTCAAGGGAATCCAACGGTGTCCCTCTAATGATGACACACCGCAGTCCTGGCCCCGTGGGGAGGCTGCCTCGGGAAGAAGCAACGTGCTCTACCACTGAATGGGAGTCGGGGACCTTCCTCGCCTGAGTGAGGCCCCCATGGCACTGGTCGTCCAATTGTCCTCTGCCAGGCTTGACACCCACTTTCCACGGGGCCAGAGCACCTGCCCAGCCCACTAATGTACCTTCCACCCGGTCCCAGGTGCTGGGACTCTAGGTGCGCCCTGGGACCCCGCTGCTGGGGTGGGACGGGTGGGGCAGTGGGAGGCCCACGCCACAGCGGGAGGGGACGGAGTACGGGGTGCCCGCTGTCCACCCAAACCCATCCCAGCACCCAGAGGCTGTGGGGGTCTGTGGAGAAAACAGCCTGTTCCTGTCCCGGGAGTGGGGAAGCACCAGCTGCTGGTGGGGTTCGGAGCCCCCACCCCTCGGACGGCCCCATCTTCCAGCCTCGCTGACCCCCAGCCCAGGGCACAGGGCACGCTGGCCAGCAAGGTGGCAGGGGTGCCCGCCCCTGGTGTACGGCCCATGTCTGGCTGCATTGTTTCCCTGGGCCAGACGCTGCCCTCTGCCCCCCCGCTCGGTGCCGCCCACAGCTCACTTCCTCCCAGCCAGGCCTGTCTCAGGGTCAGGCTCCCATGCAGAGAAATGGAAAGCCAGGGCAAGTCCCCTGCCGCTTCCCAAGAAAGTCCCCACGGAGCCCCGCTCCCGCCCGACATTTCCACGAGGCTCAGTTTAGCCCGAGCAGGAAAGGGGATTTCTCTCTCCTGAGAACCCGAGAGTCTGACAGGCAGCCCCTAGTGTGGCTCCGGGGAGAGGGGCCCCGGGTGGCTGGGCTGCCCGAGAAGAGGAAAGGGGGTACCCTGCAAGCCCCACCACGGGGTGCTAGAGCCCCACCTGCCTCACACCTTCTAGAACGTTCCTGGGCAACAGGGTCTGCAGGTACCTTCCAGGAACCAGAGGCCCCTGTGGAAAGGCCCCTGGAGAGCCGGACACGCGTGCAGGAGATGTGCTCGGCACCCCCCACTCTCAGCCCTGGCCTCACAGCGTCCCTGGGCCTCGGCATTCCCTGGAGCCTCGTAAGGCTCCTAAGTCAGCCCTCCCAGGCCCTCCACCACCAGAGTCTCTCTCCCATCCCCCAATGGCCTTTCCTTTGATCTTTGCTCCTTCAAGTTCAAGGAGTCTGTGAGGGCTTTAAACCGACTTTCATCCAATGAGCCCGTGATGGGCATCCACGCTGTGCTAGGCCCCTCCCTGCACAGGCCCTCAGGGAGGAGGCGTGGGGACAGCCTGTGCCAAGGCCCTGGAGCAGAGAGGTGCTTGGAGATCAGAGCTCCGAGCTCAAAGAGGTCGAGGTCCCTGTCCAGGCAGGGTGGAGCGTGGCCTCGAGGGGCACTTCAGAGTGTGATACACTCCACCCCGGGCGTGAAGAGACACCTGCCTGCAACTCCCAGGAGGCCAGGTGTCCCCTCCTGGCCCTGCTGGAGCCAGGACTCTCCCCGCTGACCTGGTGACTGCACTTTCACATGGGGTTTCCCCAGAGACTGTGTCTGTGGCAAGGACTCTGACCAGGAAATTCCCAGAGAACAGTCCGCGAGGGAGAATTGGCCTCAGGCCAGGCCAGGCAAGGTCAGGCCTGAGGAGCCTGGCGTGGGCTCCCGCTGCGCCCAGGGCAGGAGAGCGCAGCGTCCCCTGCATCAGCACGGGCCTCCCCTACAGGGACAGCACTTGTCTGCCTGTGCGCGGCCAGCCCGGGGTCATACACTGACCTTCCGGGCCGTGGGCTGGCCCGTGGGACCAGGGGACAGCAGACTCGCTGTGGCCAGCGAGGGGCAGGGGGCAAAGCAAGGGTGACCAGGCCCCGGACGGCAGGTCACTGTCTGGGAAGCGACCCCAACTCTGAAGGCTGGAGGACCAGCCAGGGACGGAGGGCAGTCGCAGAGCAGGGCACAGCACCTGCAGGGCTCTGGCGCTCCAGGTCACTAGCTGCCCCGCCCGTGGGTGCAGGAGGAGGCCCCAAGCGTGTGGGGGTCAGGCAGGTGGCCGTGCAAGGAGGGGCTCTGAGCTGGAGAGGGGTGCAGGAACCTGGGTGGGGGGCACAGAGAAGTCTAGAGGGCAGGGAGCTGCAGGGCAGGGAACCCTGAGAGGGGAAGAGAGGCCCAGGGGTGCCCCAAGGGTAGGGGCCACACCCTGGCCTTATTTAGAATCGACAGCGCCTGGAGTGAAGGGAAGCCTGCGGATTCTATCCGTTCCATCCCCACGGCCGCCCTGCACCAGAGGTCCTACCCCTGCCTGCCGCGCCCCACGCTGGTCCACACCGGTGAGGACAGGGTGGGCCATGAGGCCTCACTCCAGATCTCCAGTATGGCAGCCTGGTCAAGTTCACGCACCAGTGCCAGCAGCCACCCATTCCCGCATCCTGGCTCAGTCCTGGGGGCTCCGGAGACAGCGTGGCATGAGGGGCCACGGCTGGAGCGCGGGGGCGCTTGTGCACCGGGGCCTCCCGTCCACGCCTGCTAGTGCGCTCTCGCTCTCCTGAGACCCGCATGCCTGGGGTCATCATCTGAAGGGAGCTCGGGGTCTGAGGAGGGGGGCAGAGAAGGGCACAGGGGCGCTGGGCCCCTGGGCGGAGCCCCCCACCTGCAGGGGCGCTGAGCTCAGGGGCAGGAAGCCAGGGCATCCCGGCCACCCGGGCACCTAGTTCCTGCCCAGGGCTGCCCTCGGACACTGCCTGACCTCCCATGTGCCTCCTTCTTCCAGGCGGGGCCTCCCGAAGCCGCTTCACCGGCCCCACAGCAGACAGACAGCCTTCTAGTCCCTGCCCTTGAGGTTGGGGACCCCCAGACAAGCGGGGCCCACACGGAACACGCATGTGTTCTCCCAAAGTGACTGCACCGACCAGAGTCCCCATTGCAGCGTCCTCTCCCATTGGGTCCAGGACATGGGGTCCTCTCTGACCTCTGGCCCCCACCTTGCTGGGGCCACCCACTCCCACACTGCCCCCTGCTGCTTCTCTTCCAGGAAAGACTCCAAAGTCGGCCTCCCAGGCCCCAATGTCATCTCAGATGTATCCTGGCAAGCACCAAACCCCCGTCACCCCCAGAAGGAGCACCCCAGCGCCCCTCATTTCTGCTGGCTGGCATTCTCGGCCCCACTGGCTACAGCGGGCCCACTCCTCCCGGCCCGCAGCTTGGCATCCCTCCACAGCCACTAAGGGACGCTCCAGATGCCACTCCACCGTGGCCTCCACGCTCTGGCCCCCGGGCAGCACCCCAGGGCCTCCGACAGAGCTCAGCCCCCAGCCCCACGACTGCCCTGTATCTCGGCCTCCTGGCAGCTCTCCTCCCCGTTGCCCCACCTGCCTGCCCCCTCCCACCTGTGCCCAGGGTGGCGTCCGCTCGTGGGCAGGGATGGGGGACCTGGCCCTGTTCTCTGGAGCCTGCTTGCTGATAACCTGGCCACGTCATCATGTCCCGACACCGTCCGCACCTGCACCTGCCGCCCTGGACTAACCTGCCCTGACCTCCCGGCGCATCGAGAAATAGCTTCTTCACTCTCCCCACTTCACAGGCGAGGAAGCGGAGGCCCAGACCGCTGGGCAGCCCACCCAGGGCCATACAGCACGGAGAACGGAGCTCGCGTGGAGTTAAGTGGCCCCTCGCCGTGCCAGGCTGACTCAGGAAATGCCCCCAAAGGACAGCAGCTTGGGGGAGGAAAGCCCAGGCCACCCACGTGCTCCTGTCGACACAGACCGGGGAGGCCAGACGGGCGGATGGGGCTGGGTGGGCAGCCGGGCAGTCGTGGACACGCGCTCCATGACCGCCAGCCCCCGTGAGGGCAGCTGAGAGCCCAGGACCCCAGGAGGGCCTGCTGCCTCCATGCACGGACCCGAGGGAGCCCCGGAGCACGCGTGTGGCAGCCACCGGCCTGGGGAGCTGGTGGCGCGGCTGCTGCCCCTGTCACGTGGGAGCTTCGCAGGACAGGGAGGAGGTGACAGGCCGGCGGATGCGCGAGGGAGCCCTGCACCCACAGGGGCTGAGCAGCTGGACCTGACGCTCACGTTGTCAAAATAGTTTCAGGGTTTGAAAAAGAAAGTCCACGTGCAAGGTACTGCTCTTGGTACTTCGAGGAAACAGCTAAATTTCCATAATCCCCGGCCACTAACACGCCTGCTGAGACGCATGTCCACACACCATGTGTGTGCCCGGGGCTCGTGGCCCCGGCGGTGGTGGCAGGGGAGGAGCCGGCCCGGGAGCTCGAGGAAACCCGCCAGGCTCGGGGCTGCGGCCGCGGAACCAGGCCTCCCAGAGACCCAGCGACTGAGTAATACGGCGACTTTCTTAGAAACCGAGAGTTTCAGATCGTGACAGAGACGCCCAGAGGCACCGCGGCGGGGGGGGGGGGGGGGGGTCCGCAGCCCTCCCGGCGCAAGGCTCAACACGGAAACCGTCGGCTGCTCGCAAGGGTCCGGAAGCCTCCGCTGCACGTCCCGCGCCTAACGGCCGCAGGGCCCTTAGAAAACCCGGAGGGCGCGCCGCCTGGCCCGTGTGGGCTACCTGAGACCCGTGTGCAGCGTCCGCGGAAGGACCCAGAGAAGTGGCGAATCCAGGCCCCGCGACAGGCCCGGTGAGGCAGGAGCGAGGGCGCCAGGCACCTGGCATGGGCCGGACGGCCACCCCGGGGTGGAGCCGAGGGCACGCTGAGCTCTGCCTGGAATCAGGGCTGGGGTTCGCCACTAACACCTTGAAGGGATAAAAATGCAAAGAGACGCTTTATTTTATTTTATTTTTTTTTTTTAAGATTTTATTTATTTATTTGACAGAGAGAAATCACAAGTAGGCAGAGAGGCAGGCAGAGAGAGAGGAGGAAGCAGGCTCCCCATTGAGCAGAGAGTCCGATGCGGGGCTCGATCCCAGGATCCTGGGATCATGACCTGAGCTGAAGGCAGCAGCTTTAACCCACTGAGCCACCCAGGCGCCCAAAGAGACGCTTTATTAAATCTAAACTGGGAACCAGCCCAAAAAAGCAGAGGCTGGAAAGAAGGAACCTGAAGGGAGGACCCTTCCTCGCGGAGGAAGGCCAGCCAGTCACCAGGGTGCCCGCGAGCCCAGAACCCGGTCCCCGCGGCCCCTGCTGTGATCCCCGCCTCGTCCTGGGACTGGGGGGGAGTGGAGGCCACTGGGAGGGGCCACTGGGGGCTGCAGCAGGGAAGGGTCACAGCACGTGGCCTGGAGGCCAGAGTCGGGGTCCCACACCCGGTACGTGCCCGCTGGGAGCAAACACCTGCAGCCCCGGTTAAGGATGGGGCCGGCCACTGTAGACCCACCTCCCAGGTTACAGGAAGCCGGGGAAGGGACAGCCAGTAGGCCGGGGACCCCGAGGGGCAGCGGGGCCCAGAGTGCGGGTCGCCGTCTGCAGCAAAGGGAACGTCCTCGGGAGCGGAGTCCAGGCCCAGAGACGCTGGGAGCCATCACGGACCGGGAGGCATCCAAGGAGCAGCAGAGCCATGGCCACGGGCGGTCCTACAGAATGTTCTAGGGCAGGGAGCCCGTGAGGACGTCCCCTCAGCCCAGGACAAGTGTGCGAATGTCCACAGCTTCCCAAACAGCACATCCAAACTGATGGACGCGCCGGGAGGGCAAGAGGCAAAGCGGAGGCCCTCACGGCTCTCGGGGAGAAGGTGCGGGGGCTCGCCCCCCGCCCCAGGCCTTGACCTTTCCGGTACACACAGCACAACGGCCACTGCACACACCCGTGCAAACGGCCACTGCGGAGAACGCGGAGCCGCGCACAGTGGGCCAGAGTGTGGAGGGGCCCAGCCGCCGTTGACGCACCATCGCGGTTCCTCAAACACCCAACGTGGAGCCGGCCTGCGGCCCAGAAACCCCACGCTCCTCCACCAGAAGCGAAAGCAGGATCTCAGAGACGCGTCCGCACGACCCAACTCTCAGCAGCGTCCCTCGCGGCGGCAGTCGGGATGCTGGGACGGCCCATGGGGCACCCAGGGAGGAGGGAGAGGCCCACTGCGCCACGACGGAACGTCAGCCTCCACAAGGGACGAGGCCCGGCCCCTGCTGCCACTCGGAGGCGCCTCGAAGGCTGCCTGGAGGGAGACGCGCCGGCCGTCGAGGCCACGTGCGCTGTGGTCCACTCCCCGGAGGCTGCCGGGGGCGCGAGAGCTGGACAGAGGGCACGGGGTGGGTGGGGGGCGGCACCTCCTAGGCCAGGGCTCCGGGGGAGGTGGAGGGGCCTGGACGCGGGCAGTGGGGACGCTGCCTGACGGCGTGAAGGGGCTGAGCCCCACGGCAATGGGCACTTACAACAGCCAACTGGCACAACATGGATTGTGCCACAAGTGGAACTGGTTCAGGAAATAGTCTTGACAATGAAGCGTGGGGACAGTCTCCCGTGTTCAGACCCAGACACCCCAGGCACGTCACCCCTGTGTGCGGGGAGGGGCTGGAAGGGGAACGGGGCCCCTCGCCGCTGTCACCGGGCGGCCGCGGGGCTGGGGGTGGGGGGACTTCCCCTCCATCCCAGGCCGACAGTTGCTAGCTCAGTCATCCTGAAATTCAGGCCTCCCAGAACTTCCTAAATATTTCCTGAGACCGTGGCCTCAGACTTTCAGGTCCGAGAGGGGCCGACACGGGCCCGGGACGGGCAACGTCAGCCACCCCCGTTCCAGGTGTTCTTGAGGTTTCTTCCCACTTCTCTGTAGGGTGGCTTGGGCTCTGTCCCTTGGCTCGCCCCTACCCTGGAGGAGGGGGTCACGGCCCCAGGACCACGTGCAGGGTGCCCGGTGGGGGCCATGGGGTCACCAGGCAAATGCTGCCCACCAGGCGGGGCGCCCTTGTGGCTGCTGTCCCAGTGCTGTCCCGGTGCAGGCCACCCCGTCCCTCCACCCACAGGGTCCCTCCAGCAGTGCCCGCAGGCAGGCGTCTCTCCCCGGGGTCCCTCCCGAGCCCCGGAGGACGGGGTTCTGTGCTCTGCTGAGGGGCTCCTGCTGCCCCACCCGCTCACCCCGGGGCTGTCCCAGGCAGCATGGGCCTCCCTGCCCCTCTGGACACACCCTGTCCTTCAGCGGCAGAGGGACAGGACAGACGCACAGTGTGAGGGATCTGCGTGGCACCCAGCGCTGACGGGGTGACCCAATGCTGCAGCGTGCAGGCAGGAGGTCGCTGGAAGAGGCAGACCCTGGGAACTGCAGGGGCTGATGTGTCCCTTTGCCCCCGACCCAATGAGCCAGGTGGCCCCAGCCCAGGAGGGGTGGAGGGGACAGGTCTCCCAGGAGGGACAGCCCCAAGGTGACTCCCAGTGGGTCATGGCATGGCTTTGAGGACAGGCAGCCCTGGTGTGGTCCTGGGTCTGAGCCCCTAAGGATGGGAGGCATCTCCCCCACACCCGGCACTCCCAGAGGCATCCCTCTGGGTCTCCTGATGTCGTTGGGGGACGTGAAGAAACGGGGGCCCCAAGTCGGACCACTGGCTCCAGCACCGGGAAGGGACACGCAGGGCTCTGGACAGCAGGTGTCCCCTCTGCGGTGATGACTTGAGGCTAGAATTCCAAATCGCAGAGTCCCACACTTGGGGATGCACCACGAGTCAGGGTCGAGGAGGACCCAGGCGTGGCCCCCGAGAGCCCCATGCACAGGCCGGGCTCCTGCGGGTTGGGCTCGGCGGCTCTCCAGGCACACAATCAGGCAGCAGAGAGGGTCTGTGCCCCACAGACAGGGACAGAGCGCGGTCCAAGGGCCACACTCCGGGGCCGGACAGGAGGCCTGGCATGGACGTCGTCCGTGAGGAACCACCGGGACCCCGGTGTGGGCCAGGACTTGTGCACTCAGCGGTCACACCCAGCAAACTCCTGCTGCGGGCAAATGGGGTGCAGGTTCCCCGCCAGTCCCGGGCCCGGAAGGGGGAGGCACGTGGGACTCTTGGCGGCGGAGATGGGCGTGGAGGTGCTGGGGACACAACACCTCGCGGTGTTGGGGCGAGGGGGTGCGGCTGGACGCGGCTGGACCAGGGTGGGAGTGAGGGACTCCACAGGGACGGACCCTGAAGCCCCAGGCTGAGCCCAGCGTGCGGAGATGCGAGGTTAGAGGTGAGAGAGCCTCTGGCCAGCACAAGCCAGGCCGCGGCGTGAGGAGGAGGAACACGTCGAGTCCCTCCGTGCCACAAAGGCACACACGCGGCGAACACCGGGGCCAGGGCTGAGGCTGGGGTTTGGAGGTGGCGGGAGCACGCAGGGCAGGGGCGTACGGGAGAGTGGGGACGCAGGTCAGGAGGGGTTGGAGGAGCTGTCTTCCTGCTGTCAGTAGGCGCCTCGGTCTGCAGAAGCTTCCAGAATGAGTCTCAGCGAGAAGGGACGTGGAGGGCCAGGGCCTGGCATGGATGCCTGCACCTCCAGAGGCCCCAGGAGCCCCACAGTGCCCAGCGCCTCCCACAACCCGGGTCTGAGTGCTCCCACCTGCCCCGAGTCAGCAGGAAGGTGGGCCACGACACACATGGTGACGGCCCCCCTCCCTTAGCCACGCTCCGCTCAGCCCGGGTCCTGACCCAGCCGTCACCCTGGGCTCTGACAGCTAAGCCCACCTTCCCCTACTGGCCAGCCACCCACCCGTCCAGGGGAGGTCCAATGAGCGTGCTGAGAACCTGGCAGGACCCTCTACCCAAGACACAGCCGAGCCCAGGGAGTGCAGAGGGAATGTGCTGTGGGGACTCCCACCATCAGCCACCGGCCACGGCCACCGCCACGGCCACGACCGAGGCAGCCGCGAGTGGGGCTTCCCAGGAGAAGGGTATCTTGCCACAGAAGCCCCCAGGGAAGGCCCTGGGGACCCTCCTGCCTGAGGCCACACAGTGGGAGGGCCCCAAAAGCATCCACGAGACCCCAGCTCACACCCCGAGACTCTGTATGGCAACATGGGGGTCGACGTCCCTGGCCTTGATTCTGTAACCCCAGTTTTGAGAAAATTCCTGGAAGGAACAGTCCCGGAGACCAAAACGTTGTTTGTAACCTCCTTTATTTTTCATCTTTTTAACGACCAACTGACGGCGGGAGGGGAGCCGAGGGAGAGAAAAACCCAGGCGGATTTCACACTGGGGACAAGCCCGACGCGGGGCTGGATCCCACCACCCTGAGCCGAAACCAACAGAGGCTCCACCAACTTTGCCCCCCAGGTGCCACCCCCGCTTTACTTTAACCAGAAGAAGCTGCAAACCACCCCACCGTCAGTTCAAACGAGGGGTGGGGGGAGCTCCACAGAGATGTCCGGAGATGGCACCAGGTCACCGCTCGTTAGTCGGGAAGGAACGGCGACAGTGCACTGGGCTTGGACACGAGCTGCCCTGCACGCCAGACGACCAGGTCCGTGAGCGCCCGCGTGTGCCCCGGGCAGGGCCACTCCG